TCTCTCTCTCTCTCTCTCTCTCTCTCTCTCTCTCTCTAGCTTATTTTAAATATTCAAAATAACTAGTGTTAGACATTTTATTTTTCTAATATCATCCTGTTCAAAAATTGAGAATTTCTTGAAAATATAAAAATTGTGAAAGCTAACATTCTCGATGAAAAGTATTTTTTAATGGTTTAATCAAAATTAAATACTACCTTGAATTGATGTATAATATTCATAAATTAAGTAATTTTTAATTAAGAAATAATTCACTAAACTATACTATAGATTTATTATTCAATAGTTACTATACTTTTCTTAATTTTGCTTTTGCCCTACTATTTTTATTCTTTTGGCTAACCCTAATTTAAATAACAATTCACTTTCAGTTATAATAAAGTATTAGTAGTTTACCTGATATTAGTATTAGACAAATATTTGCCAGATACATTTTGGAAGTATAATATTAGTTTATCTGCTTTATTTATTTGAACAAAATATATTTTAAAAAACACTTAAATAGACGGAATAAATTCACTGTTTAAAATGTATATTTTTTGCATACGTGGCTCAATATATTTATAATTAATTAAGTAATTAAAAAATTAACCGTCATATTTAATTAACTTAATATTAATTTGTTACAAAATTTTATATTTTAATAGTAATAGCCAAGGGGGTAAAACTTATTAGGGGAAAACCAAATTAAGACATTTATTGATATACGTTATATTTGTTTAGTAAGAAAAATGAATTAATAAGTGATTAATACTGTATTAATAATACATGTTCTTAAACAATGTAAATTAAGTTACAACTAAAAAACGACCATGGTCGGTAGTTTGGCAAACACGAAAATAATTTCATGTACACTAGCACAATCTTGTGCTAAGTATATGTACAATACTACGTATAATATAGTGGAACATAAAATTTGTTGATTATGTTGATCAAATTGTTAAGTAAATAACAAGTAATAGGGCTGTCATAATTTGCCAAACGTGGCATACATTTCCGGAACCTGGCTGGTAGGCTTAAATGACCTAAATGGTATGGTTGGTCGACATACCAACTTTAAGGCTAATCCTATTAACCGCTAGAATTATTATTAACCAATAAAAATATAATTTGCACGTAATTAATATTATTATAATTTAAAATATAATTTATTTTGTCATAAAATATTTAATTTCATTTATTTGATAAGATTTTTAATTTGTTTGACCACTCTTTCAATGCTATCAGAGTTAAGCATACGTTTTAAAGCGACGGATAATTTGTGTTTCAATTCCTTATCATTCAATAGCTTTTCAATAGAGTTAAGCAATTCGTGCTCTGAAACGGTGTGCGGATTAAGTCTAATCCCAAATCCCTTTTCCATAACTCTCTGTGCGTTATCGTATTGATCGGCAAATAATGGCATTATTATCATTGGTTTACCACAACTAGGCTTTGGGCTGGATTGTCCAGTTTTTGATGGTCCTGTCCAGTGTCCAGTGCAGGGGTAAAACTGGACATTGATGTGTCCCGTTTTGAAATTATTTAAAAATATGAACATTTTGTTACAAATCGGCATTAATTGTGCGCTTATATAATCTATATTATATACAACAAAAATTGGAGCTACATTATTTAACAAAATAGAAATTTCATATAAACTAAGTATACATTTTCAATAATGTATAATCTCTAAACTCGTGGTAACTTAAAGGGAGGTGTTATTATGTCAAAACTAATGAAAATCTTGTGAAATCCTCCCAAAAATATAAATAAAAAGTAAACATTATTTCGAAAAATATGTGTCCAGTTTTTGTCCAGTTTTGCAATTTGGTTTATAATGAAAATCCATTTTTGTATAAAATTTATCTGGCACAACTAAACGTTTCGGTCACAGAGTTGTTCCCGCCGTGGGTTATGACCACATCTACTAATGGCAACACTTTTGTCTGCGGAACAGACTTTTCGCCCCACATATTGTCCGCCAATTCATATGTGTCTCCGAGAACTCCCTTCGAGACTATAATCTTGTGCTGACTTTTAGAGAGAATAGACACACATTTCTTCATTAGATTCACATCTACTGAACCCATAGAACCCAATGAGAGATAAATTAATTTACTTTTTTCTATATATTTCAAATATAATATTTGTCACCAAATTTATCGGGAATTTTAAACTCTTGTTTTTCTCCTCTTCTCATAAATGTGTCGACTCTTAACCACTTCTCAGGAAGTGGTCTGAGGTCTGTGTAATCGAGTTCTTCGGGATATCCATAGATATTAAAATACGGCGAGTCATCAATTACTCGGTTATTAGTGGTTGCGGGAAAGCCTTCCTCTTTCATCCATTCATTATATTTAATGCTTTGACTTTTAAACATAGTATCTTTTGATAATTCTTTGAATTTTTCCCATTCTTTTCGATTACCGTTTGAAGGATAGCCTAAATTCATATATTTATAAATTATTAAATAAATTTAATTTGATAAAAACAACTGACCCGAATACCCGGGAGGAGTCCTATCGTCGTGTATAACAAACAATGGATTCCCACAAAAGAGGGAAACCCAGGGTTTGGTTGAGTGGATTAGTGTCGGAGAGCCGGCGAAGTCATCGATGATATATAGATCGGGATTATGTTTGGCGACAATAGCCTTAAGTTTTGGTTCATTAGCCCTCATTGTGTCCACCAATTTATCGAAGAAAGTTATAGTTTGCATAATTTTCATCGATTCATATGACGTTACGTTTGAGAGGAGTCCCGACTCTATTAAACTCTTGGCGCCGTCTTCTCCCGGCTTTTTAGCATTAGTTTCCTCTGAAGTCATGATCTTTTCGATGAAACCAAACGGCGATAACTTTCTCACAAATGACGGGTTGACGACAAACACAATTTTGTGGCCCCGACTCAGCAGTACTTCAGCCAAACCTATGCACGCATTCACGTGTCCCACGCCCTCCACGGGAGCAAACAGTATCGTTAACTTTTTTACCATTTTTTTACAATTAATTACTTTCAATCAACACTTCACTACAAAATACAAAATGTATTTTAGACTTTAGATAATAATATGATTGAATTGCTGTAAAATGTTTGAGTATTTATACACTAAAGTACTATTACGTTAAATCATAGCAAATCATCACTTATATTTACTATATATGTAATGGAAATAAATAACTTTGGGTACATAATGTGGGGGTATCTAGTAATTTTTACATGTACACTAAATCAACTTTAAAATTAAGTACAATTACATTGTTTAATTTACTGAACTAATGTAATTTGCTTGAATAAAAATTTTAAAGTTATAAAATCAACCAATCGCCAACGATACTTTATGTTTGGATTAATATTTTTAAAAACTTTTTTGTACTAACATACACTGTGACACATCCTTTAGCCACCCCTAACCGCCACCCCTCCCTTTAATAACCACAATAACAAATAAGTAATGGTTTCGGAATTGTTCCATTTTTAAAAAAATAGTAACGTAACTGAAAAAATATTTATAAAAAAAATTTTCCCGATATGGCTCTATATATGTGTGAAGTAAAATTAGTCTCATTTCAACAGTTCCCGAATAATCGCAAAATTTCGACGGCCAATATTTTTTGAAATCTTTTATATTATTATACGGTATTAGATAATAAAACTCTTTATTATTTGTCAAATAAGAGATAAAACTGAATGCTCGAAAAGTTTATTTAATAGAAATCGATTGTAGATTGATAATATAAATATTTATAATATAAATACTTTATATATAAATCTAATTGTTGTTACAAATTTAGATGAATTTTGCAAACAGTTTAGGCGTAACCAAATACAAGAGTCGATCAATTTCTTTGATAAACATCTTTATATTATGACAACTATCCGAAGGGTTAGGTAATTTGAATGAACATTTTTCGGCTGTTAAAAGGTCTTGGTTAATTGTATCAATCTATGCATTTGTTAACAAATTGTTAGTTTTGAGAATTTAAAAATTTAAAATATCATAAATACTTACCTCTTTTATAATTTCAGATATTACGTTATTTTTATACGTAGAGACAACTTTTGCTTCTTTTATCAATATGTTCATTTTTATCTTAAATTTTGATAAAAGACCCTTGGACGTTTCAGATGGGCTACATTTGGCTTTTGTTATGGTTTCAGTGAAGTCAACGGCTCTCCCGTTTTCGTCACAAACTAATGCCTCAGTTAGTCTGGCAATGGCTTTGGTGGCGTCCGCTCTCACGTCATGATAAGCCGCTTTTCCCAGAATTACTGGGCATTGGTCTCCCTCTTGTTTTGCAAGTATTTTCTTCATTTTTTGTGCGTATTTATTATAGAATTCTTTATAACAAGAAAGTCCGGAAGAGCTGGCGATCGTCGCCCTCTTCAGTTCCATTTTATCTAGATTTGTATAAATCAATTGGCATAGCCCGATCTCGTCGTTTCCTTGCAAAGCATTTTCCACATTCATCATGAAATCGTTGTCAGATTTTCGGTCGCCAACCACTGAAATAGTAAATCAAGTATAATGTATATTATTTTTAATTTGTTTTAAATTTAATTTTGTATTTAATTTTAGTTTATAATGTTTTAAAACATACCAAAAGCGATGGCCATCGATAAAATTATGATAATAATTAAAGATTTCATAATTCTGTTCAATAATTATTTTAATAAATTTAACTATATTGTATTCAATGAATACCACGGCTTTTATACAAAAGATTGTACCATTAATAATCATGATTAATGACATTTTTCTGAATAATATTGATTTATTTCATTCATGTGTTTTTGAATATTTTGCAATAAATACTTTGATATATGGTTCACAAACAAATGATTTATTTATATCCGCAACTTATTTTAATATTACATAATATCAATGAATACAATGTATATACATAATTTTACATTTACAATTTATATCTAATTCGTTTAGATATTATTTTATAGTTACTATTAAAAATAATTGTAAATTCTAAATGAATTAATATTTATTTAAAATTATTTATAATTTCATTAAACTAAAACATGAAAACAGTAAATGAAAATATATTTCAATTTTAATTTTCTTACAACACAATACATGTAAAGGTATATATGTAAAGGTAAAATGAAATATTAATTAGAATTTATAGTTTTTTCATTTATGAAATTTATTCATTTGAATTTTAAGTTATTAAATTATATAAAAATAACCCTATTTTCATTACCATTCAAAAACCACAAACACTGTTTACAAACATATTATTAATTTAAACTATAAATTGTGATTTTTGGCAATTTTACTTCAAAGCTCTAATTAGGGTGACCACCAATATTTTCTTTAAAAAACAATTTTTCTTATTAACGGACACAAAAAGGACGCCAATTATTATTATGTTAATGACGGTGTTATGTCACACATTTCAATGAACATTTAATTGATAACATTTTTAACAAACAAAATAAATGATATTACCCTTAGGATTAAACATGGGATTACAGCTTAAGTTTATGGCTATACTTTAACATGGGCCATTGTAATCCTAAGGGTAATGTTAATCCTATGGGAATAATGTATTAATAACATGGATAATGTTTGTGTTTGTGAAAAATTAATCTCATAACAGCTTAAGTTTATGACATATGAGTCATAGACTATAACATAGAGTTAACATGTGTAATGCTAAGTTTATGGGTAATGCTACGTCTATGGGTAAAGTTATTTTTATGACAAATCTATAAGACCCATTAAATATGTAGTAAATGCTTGTATACACTTTGAGCAATACCCGAATTGTGGTAAACATATACTTTTGCTTTGTGATTCTTGTTTAAAATATTAAATTATTTATATAAAATTAATAAAACTTAAAAAAGAACAAAGTATTGTTTTTCCCGTATGGTCAAAGTTGAAAAGACTTTTTGAAAACCGAAAAGTGACAAAACCCATACAGAAAACATTATGGTCACCCTATCTATATTATAGAGTTTATTTGGCATTTATGCAATAAAATATTTATTATTCTAATGTCACAAATGTGCAATTTAATTAATAATTATTAAATCTTGTTTGAGATGAAATGTATGACCATGGTATTCTATATTATCTACAATCTATTATCTATGTACATATTATGTACATATCAGTTGTGCGTAATTGTTTCATGTGCGTCATTGTTGCATTCAATAAATAATATATAAGTAAATTATAAATTCAATATGTTAATTTAGAAATTAATTATAAAAACATGTTACAAAATTTATTAAAAAATTATCTATTATTAATTGTTAAATCTAAAAAATTTAGCAATACTATACATTTAAATATTTATTACGCATTCAATGATAAAGATATTTTTAAATATTTATCATCTTTTAATCTAAAATACTTTTTAAACCAGATTTAGAAATTTCTAAATCATTATTGAAATAACGCAAATGTTTTCTTATAAAGTGTAAAACTTTTAACAATGTTACATAGATTATTCATTGAATTTCAATATTAAATATTAATACTAGAAAGAGATAGCGTATGTTATTTTCATTCAAACATAATGTATTTTATACAATCAGTCGGTTTAGTAATTAAAAATAAGATTAAAACTCGATTACTAATTCTTACAATTATTGTTTTCATTATACATACGGATGGTATAACTTGGCGCGTGTTTTTTGACGTATGCCCAGTCAAAATAGTTATGCCCTTTATATTTATCATTCACAATATACAATTTTATATAACATTTTAAATTGCTTATGTTTTACTAAAATAACTTTTATAAATAAATTACAAAATTATTATAAATTATTCTACCATATGCTATACCATACATGTACTGTACAATAGTATTGTAACAAATATGACAAATTAAATTACATTTACAAAATTGAATAATATTTTAATTGATTTCTTTAATGTAATTAAATATAAAATACTATACCTAATATGTATTGTATTATAATTAAACATTACTTACGTAGTTTAAAAAAATAAATATTACATTTTATATACATGTATATCTCGTATACGGTTTGCGCCAACAGAGAAGTCATTGTTTCCGCCGGTAAATAACTTGATAACAATTACACCTATTTTACCACATATTATATACTTTTTACCCACATTTAGGTGCCATTAATACTCCTCAGTTGTTGATACAAATGACCTAGACACAGCAAATATGCTAGATGCGGTCATGTCGGGCTTTTATTTGCTCGAACGCACACAACTCTCACAATATAATTTACTCAATCATTGCGCCCATTTTTGGCCATCGAGTGTCCCGACTGTCCGGACAAACAGTATTTGTATGAATGCGTGGAGGGATTGAAGTGTTATATTAAATATAACAGCCATTCGTCGTATCATTCGTCGGGCACTTGTCGTATGGGTGCCATTGAAAAGTCGGATGTTGTGGTCGACCCCCTGTTGAGGGTTAAGGGGGCCAACAATCTAAGGGTTTGCGACGCCTCTGTATTCCCGGTCATACCCAACGCTAACACCGCCGCCACTGCCATAACTGTTGGCTATAAATGCG